CACGAGGTCACTCCTAAAAACAGGGCTATTACTATTTATTGAATTATTATTGTTTTTGTTCAGTAGATAAAAATCATCATCTCCATCGAAGATGGATCAATCCTTTCCCCCAACTCCTAGCTTCTCATCCTTATCAAAATGAATCCAGATGTTAATTAAATTCAATTCAGGACATGACAGGAAGCTAAAAATTTATGTAAAAGGATAAAAGTCTCAGTCCCGAAAGCCTTCCGGATTCTTGAATCCACTGATTCAAGCACGTTAAACTTGACTTCTCCGTAACCCGGAAGGCTGTCTTCCACCTTTCACCGTTGCTCGCAACGGCCTTGCAACTATTGTAGCGACACAATAGTTGCAACTCGGAACGTTCTCTGTCAATTCCGTGATTCGTTGTCGTTTTTTTATCACAATTTTTGTTCTTCTTGCTATCGCAACTAATGTTGTTCTGTTTCTTTTTAGCTCTCTTGCCAAAATGGCCGTATCTGACGTTTCTCAGAAATGTTACGTCATCACTTCGAAAATTTAAAATTCAAGAATTTCCGAATCCTTCAACCTTCACGTTTTGTTCAATCGTTCGAATAACGTTCTTAATCCTTCAAAATCACTAACTCGGAAGGTTCACTGCTAAAACTCGAAATATGCAGAGATTGCATTTTGTCCATTCTTGTCGAATGTCACATACTCCCCGGACATTCCGGTCAATGTCCTCATTAAGTCTCGCAATGTTCGTAAAATAGATACAGTGTCATCGAACAGAATTTACAAAATGCACGAAATTACTTTTATCCACGTCACATCGACTCACTGCAGAATATAAATGGCATCGTACCACATCACTATAGCCTTCAAATTCTTTCATTAATCTGCACATTGAGGATATGACCTAAGATAAAACATATTTTCTGACTTCCAATGTCAATGTCCCGATTAAAACTTTTTCTCCTAGATTTAAAAGGTGTTGGTTTGCAGGACAGTCCTGCCAACCAACAAGCTAAAATTATCCTACTATGCTTTTTCCCTTCGGAAATCTTGCTTGTTATCGTCCTGAATATTAAAACTAAGAAACTCCTTTGTTTTCTTCTTTTTCCGTCGTTTAGAAGTTCTAAAACGTCTAAATTCTTCTAATTTCATCTCTTTTTGCATCTTGTTTTTCGGTCATTCGTCAATGTTCCATTTCTTCCTCCTGTGACACTGACTCTGCACTATCAGTTTCCGTATCCTGCAACACGTCGTTAGCTATCCTGACGCTGTTGGAAGCCGTCCTCCAACACTTCTGCTCTTCTACCTTTGTTTGCAACAAGGTAGGGGATCCACATTAGATTCTCTGTTCCTGCAGAAGCTGTTGTGGAGACACAACGTCACGTTTCTCTCCAAATCTTCCTTTAACATCTCTGCCTTCTCCTTTCCACTACGTTCACTCGTCCTGGAAATTCTTTTCACAGCGGTGGTCACTGCATTCCGATGAGTCACGAGAGCTCGCTTGAAAGCTCCTGCTCCAATGTCCAGCTGATATTCACTGTACACCCTGCCGTGCTTCGACATATGCTTTTTCGCATATTCGTACAACCATGCAGTCCTTGTACAACCATGCAGTCCATTTTGCCTGAAACCGTCTCCCCTTTGTCGGTCCGGGATCGCTTGATCCAATCCACAAAAGGATCGGTCATCGTTTTTCTTTGCTTTTCAGGTATGAATTTCCTAGAGATATTACTTCGTTTTAGTATCCTTGACTTGTCTAGACTCATTCTCTATTTGTCACTTTTTAATGCCTATACACTTAACTCGATTGCTAGAGACCTTATAGTTTTATTAACAATAATAATGACACAACACAATAAATTTCACAAGATTCTATTAAATAGTGACCACGAATCCCTGTATGTTATCAGAGTACAGTTTGTATATAATTTATTCACACTAACCGATTATTGGTCGTAAGATTTGGAAACTAGCACAATATGATGTTATCAGTCAATTTAAAAGATAGTGTACTCACTACCCAATCAAGCACAGTTTATGTTGATTTAAAATCAAAAGCAAAAAAAATATATAATGACAGAATATGAATATCTCTATAAAAAAGCGTATGTGTCCTGTATTTTTAGTCGGTCGCAGTACAATAGTCGAACTTATCTTTTAAAGAAAAAGCTTTCCCTGCTCGGTGCTGCACCAAACAGACAAAACTTTGAAGGCAGTAATTTTCTCAAGTGGGCGTCTATTGCACCCAACGAGTACTGTGTTACCAATCTGCCTTCGGACTGCCCGACCTAGACCTACTAAAATTCTCAGGGCAGTCACTTTTCACAAAAACGTATTGGGTTTCAATCCACATCAATGAATTACCCTCTTTTTAGTTTAGACTTAGTGTCGCGAATATCCGAGTTCGGACCTGTTTTGTTTTGGTCTGGTTTTTATTGAAAGGCAAGTTATCAGTGCAGTCACTGATTCCTAGCCTGTCTGCTAATAACCTAATACCTGTCACTTTAGTCTTTCTACCGTCTACCTAAGTCCTTTAATAAAATAATACCGCTCCGGATTGGCACAAATAGGACCCTTCTGGACTAACAAAATCTAGACCCCTCCGGATTGGGGACCCCTCTGAATTAGTTATTATAAGACCCCTCCGGATTTGGACCCCTCCGAATTAGCAACTATAAGACCCCCTCCGGATTCGGACCCCTCCTTATTTGTTTTTTTTTACCCCTCCGGATTGAGAGCCCTCCGGTTTTGTAAAATTAGCTTTTCGGAGACTTCCTTCTTTCAACCTATACCCCTCCGGATACGTTCTCCGATGCAATTTTGCTTTTTCAATTAACTAGGAAGGGTATGTAATGTTTTCCTAGACCCTTCCGGATTGAAGTTAAGCCTCTTATTTGACAATTCACGCTAACGGTGAAGGGTCTTATCGCTCGCCTAACTCCGGCTCGATTAAGTTTTTGCTGTGCCTTTAGCCTTCCCTTTTCGTCTAGAACAGCCTAAAGTTACTTTATTCAACCGCTATTACCTTTTGGTAGGGGTATCAGGGCTTTTCTAAAAAAAATTATAAAACGTGAAGGGTCTACCCTCCCAAATTGGTGAATTTGCTAAAAACAACCTCAAAAAATTTTCACGCTTACTTTTCCGAAAAAATTTTGTCTCTATCAGTAAGCTCAGCTAATTTCTGATCTATTGGTACCAAGATCAACTCAATATGCCTAGTAGTTCCAAAGTTATTAGCCAAAACGTCTTTTTTTCTAAAGTCAAGAAATTTCTCTCTTATAGGTTCCGCCTAACTTTTTCCGCAAATCTGGTCCTTTCGACCTAAAAATTATTGATCCGAGCTCAAAAGGCCTATACTCTTCTAGTTCAATGCAAAAGACCCGATCTAAAACGCTTTAGTTGAAAAAATTTGCAAAAAACTATGCTACCTGTACCCCTCCGGATTGATGAATCCACCAAATCAAACACGTTAAGTTCGATTTCTCTGCAACCCGGAAGGCTTTCGGGTAGCGGGTTTTAAAACTTGTAGATCACGAAATTTCGGTTTTCGGTACCAAAATAGTTCCAACCACTTTCGAACTAAACTTAACCGGTTCTATCTATTATGGTAGTGCAGTTACGATGTAACACACTAACTTAGCGCTTTTTTCCGTTTCAAAAAATATCGATATCTCAAAAATCGCGACTTTTGGGGGAATCAAAATATCGCTATTTTGACCCTAAAAACCGGTCTGCTTTCTGTGTTTTTCACTGAAAAACGGTATAAGAGTATTAATATAGGCTATACTAGTAATAATATTAGTAATACTATACCCCTCCGGGTTTGTTTAATATCCGAATTAAGGTGCTTAACTCGGATATTCGCAGTTCGGTGAAGGGTCACTACAGTGCAGCACTGTCGAGCCCCCCACAGATTACTATCTTACTTTTTGTACCAAAAGGGATACAAAACTTGTTAACGATACCCAACAGTCGATTGTTGTTGTCGTTGAGCCCCTTTTTGTTGCTCCTTGTACTGCTTGCCAGATCAGTCTTCTCCCAAGACCCCTCCGAATTGAGCGCAAATCAGCTGACCCTTCCGGATTGAGCGCAATTTATCATTAACGTGCTTAAATGCTCAAATAACCCTTCAGTTCAAGCCTCACAAACGGGCCACAAAATTGATCGTAACAATCCTGACTGATATAAATGCCTGTAACAACAATATATCTACCAAAAACAAACGGGAGGGTCGGATCACATCTTGTCCGGGGGATGATTTCTACTGAATTTTTTTTACTGTTTTTGGTTTTTTCGGTTATTTTTTTAATGTTTTTTGTTTTTCTGGCGTACTATACTACTTTTTGTTTGGTTTTATATATATCTTTAAGTGTTTTTGGTCACGGACCATTCAGGAAAGGACGGGAACGCGAATCCCCCCACCCTTCCTGGTTCGTGAATTTTCGGTCTTAACTAGGTTAAAAAGCTATTCACGGTAATCCGGAAGGCTTCCGCGTTCCGAACTACCCTTCCGCCCCGGCGGTTTAGGCCTATTAAGGGCGTTAATGTGAGCATCCGCTCGGCGCGGAGTGCTCGTTAACGGTTCTGCCGGTCATGATTTTAAAAGGAATAACACCCAGGAGCGCCATAAAAACATGTATGTAACATTCGCCCTGAAGATACATATCGACGGAAAATAAAACTAAGTCCTAAGACGACTGGCTAACGTCTAAACAGAGCTTTATATGCTTTTCACCGTCTCTACCAAGCCAGTACTTTCGGTGGTATTTTCTAACATCGGGTCGACAAAAACGTTACTGCTTTCGGCTTCGGTCAAAACACTCAAATTAACTTAATTACATGCAGGAGTAGTGAGCTCATGACTGGGTCTCAGTATCCCCAGACCACGAGGTCACTCCTAAAAACAGGGCTATTGCTATTTATTGAATTATTATTGTTTTTGTTCAGTAGATAAAAATCATCATCTCCATCGAAGATGGATCAACCCTTTCCCCCAACTCCTAGCTTCTCATCCTTATCAAAATGAATCCAGATGTTAATTAAATTCAATTCAGGACATGACAGGAAGCTAAAAGTTTATGTAAAAGGATAAAAGTCTCAGTCCCGAAACCCTTCCGGATTCTTGAATCCACTGAATCAAGCACGTTAAACTTGACTTCTCCGTAACCCGGAAGGCTGTCTTCCACCCTTCACCGTTGCTCGCAACGGCCTTGCAACTATTGTAGCGACACAATAGTTGCAACTCGGAACGTTCTCTGTCAATTCCGTGATTCGTTGTCGTTTTTTTATTACAATTTTTGTTCTTCTTGCTATCGCACCTAATGTTGTTCTGTTTCTTTTAGCTCTCTTGCCAAAATGGCCGTTTCTGACGTTTCTCAGAAATGTTACGTCATCACTTCGAAAATTTAAAATTTAGGAATTTCCGAATCCTTCAACCTTCACGTTTTGTTCAATCGTTCGAATAACCTTCTTAATCCTTCAAAATCACTAACTCGGAAGGTTCACTGCTAAAACTCGAAATCTGCAGAGATTGCGTTTTGTCCATTCTGGTCGAATGTCACAGTCGTTTTAGAACCTAGCTTTATTTTCCGTCGGTATGTACTTCGGGCGAATTTTACATTATATAGTTTACTTTAGAGTATGGTCGGAACATTCTGTTCTCCTTGCACAGCAGGAGGTTGCCCTTGTTAGTTTTTGAGGTTATAAGCTTTTTATTGTTTACACTGTATTGCAGTAATGCTGGCTCATTTTTTAAATCGGATATAGTGATTTCCGCGCCCATTGCACAGCATCTCAATCCCTTAGTTTTGATAACAATTTTTTTCAGGTATGTCTGCTACAGAGATGGATTTTTTTGATAATGAACAAGATTTTTTGGCTGTTTCTGACAGCGAACTATCTTTATTCGAAGAAGAATGCGAGCTATTTGATGGTGGTCGGCCATCTTTTGTGCCGGTTGATAAAATTGGTAGTTCGAATAATTTATCTCAGAAAGATGTTGGTGCAAATATGACTTTCATTTCTAAAGCGGTGTACAATTTAGTATCTAACATTTTTAAATGTCCAGTGTCAGAGGAAACCTTGAAAAGAAATATAGCTTTAACAGCACCTAAAGTTCCTTTTCTTAACGTCCGTCCGGTTGATCCCTGGTTTAAAAGTGTAAACCCGACCTTACTTCCGGAGTGTCTAGAGTCTGAATTGATAACGCAGAAGTTTATGCCTAATTTTTTGCGGGTCGCTTTTCCATTAGTTAGTCTTTTGGATGCCATGTCGAAAGGGCGGCTGACTCAATCTCGCATTGAAACATCAATTACTGATTCTTTACTTCTGCTGTCTTCGGCTTTGGAAAATGTGAACTCATGGAGGCGCGACAGTCTAATGCGTCGATACAATTTAGGTCACTTAAAGTCCCCAGATGTTAGCCCTGCCGAGAACCCCTACTTGTTCCCCCAGTACTTTGAAAAATGCGCGAAATACCCTACTGTTGAAGACCTATATCAAGCCAGTGAAACTTTACCGGATTTAGAAATTAACTCAACTGCGAAGTTTGCCAATGAAGCCGTGTCAGGCGATTCGAATGCAGGCCAACTTGATTCTAAGGTTCAAAAGCTGATTCGAGACACTTATCTTCTGCAGACAATGGGAAAAGATAGTTTCACGGTTAGTAAACATTTCCTGAAATGTCCTCTTCCTTCAACAACTTTATTGTGAAATACTTGATTTATGTTTCAGCAAACGGTCGACGAAATTAAGTCAAAACTCTCGGTAGGTTCTCAGATCAAAACATGTAAGTGCGCGGTGTTGGGATCGCCAGCTTCCAATGTACAAGACAAAGGAGTCATCACTGACAGGTTTTTGGTCATCATTAAACTATCTAAATTAGTACTCACTAACAAAAATAACAGATGATAAAAAAAGTTTTTTTTTTCCATATCAGAAATGTCTGCATTTTAGTTTCAGTAAAAAAATCTAGAGTAATTTGAGTCGATAAAATTCATAGACATTTTAAAAACGCATTCTGCTTTTAGCGCTAGCACAGCTGCATCAAGCCCTAGGTAATATATCACAAATCTATTATCATTAGGCAATAGTTGTAATTGAAATTTAAACTGGTTTTCAGCGTTGTGAAACTGGGAGCTGTAAACCTTAAACCCGTCAAGTAAGTACAGGCAATTATTATTGGATTTAAAATCCAATGAACAGTTAGAAAGAGATTACATTTGTTTCAGAACTGGCACCCAAGGTTCAGGTTCTCTGGTTGCGAATAGTTCCAATAACCAGAATGTGCAAAATAGGACTCTGGGTCAATCAGCCGATGCTAAATTTGGTGCACCCACAAAAAGCGCTTCGCCAGATATATCGGTAGTCGATGCATCAAAACCAGACGATTGTAGCACAAAACTTTTACTTTTGAATAAAGAAAGTGCTTCGAAAAATAAAGCAAGTGGCAATACTGATTTTTCGGAGGATATTTTTGAGGTAGTAACGCCAGGTGCGGCTGATTCTAACAATACTGATTTGAACATCAGTAGTGGTATTACCATTGAAGATGAAAGCGAGGATGTTGAAATCGAAGGCGATAATTCTAAAAACGCTGCGAATGAACTGGAATCTGAAATTGTAATTTTGGAAGTGTTAGATGATGCCGATGACAAGGAGTCATCGACATTGGTCCAAAATGAGGCAGGTTCTGCGTCTCAGAGATCCTTGGCCCCCAAGAGAAAAATAGTCCCAATTACGGGGCCATCACCGAGTCCTCCAACTTCTAAGCTCGGCGTTATAAGTCAACAGCCTAACGTGAGAACTGTGACATCATTAAACCCTATAAAACTCCCCGTGCGAACTCTGGGAGGCACTCCTCCTGTAGAGAATCAAAATCTTGCATCTAGTTCTTTTTCTAACCTTTCTAAACACACGAAACCCGCTCTAAATACTAGGAATGTTACCCGAGTTGTAGCTCCAGCCCCGGTGGCTATCCGGGTACAAGGCGGCAACAAAAACCAGAACCAAAGTGCCACGGCATTCCAGACAGCTGCTGCTATGGTGGGGATTGGTAATAACTCACAGCAGCAGATGAGCAGCGGAGCACGAATAGTGCGAGCTACTGGTGACTCATTCGGTTCAATTTCCCAGCAGAATCAGAATATACCCGCTAAAAGGTAAATTTTGATGACTTCCCTGTCTTTGAAATTTAATCGAGTTATTGCGTTTGTCTCTCTGACTATGATTATGGCATTATCCTTAGCATTTCTGAGAAATTGTTGGCCGCAATTTCTCTCTAGTGTACCAAACAAATAATCAGGTCAGATGTCAGAATATCAAACTTCCATAAATAGCAATTTGAAGATAAATAATCAATCTAGCGTGATAATTTTCTATCGAACAAGAGTGTAAAAAGCTCTAAAATCCAAATCCTGATCGGTTTCTATTTCCGCAAGTAGATTTTCAGTTTTTCCAGCGGAATAAATAATTTACCGATTGATCCTGTTTTCCTAATTTGGGTTAATTTTATCGAAAAAGCACCAATTATGTATCTATTATATATTTAAATGCGGGCTCCACTATCTCGCCATGTTTAAGCTTTTTCAATTTTGTTATTATTTATTATTATGTTAAAATCTTTAACAAAAGAATTTTCGCGCATTTAAGCTATATCGTATATTGAAATGGTTAAGATTTTTTTTTTCGATTTTCCAGTTTGAATTCAGTGTTTATTTAATCAAGTTTGAAATTAACAACCCAATACTGGGATGCTTTCAGGGTTTTCCCAGGCTTTGCAATTCTAGCCTCCCTAGATGAATTTTTGAAATTCTCGCCCTATTGTTGGGTGCTGTCATGGTACCCTCAGTAGTTGCGAATCTTGCCAAATCTAACTTCTCAAATCCTTGTAGTTTTCGAGATATGACGTTTTTTTTTATGTTTTCAAAAACTTAGGTTTTAAAAAATTCTAAAACTTTGAAAATCTTAATCCTGTTGTTGGAAACTGGTAGGGTACGCTCAGGGGTTGCAAATCTTGCCTCTGAATATGACTGCTTAAATCCTTAGATATGAAGTTTTTTAGGATTTTTTTTCCAAATGTTTCAGAGAACTTATATTTAAAACATTTCACAAAATTTGAAGTTCCCATCTCTATAGTGAAGTTCGGTTTTCTCAAAAAAATGTTAGAAAACAAATTTAATTTTTTCTTAAAAAATTGAAGTTCGCATTTCTGTAGTGGGGACTGTCAAAGTATTCTCAGATTCTCAGGGGTTGCGAATCTTGCCTTTAAATATCAGTGCTCTAATCTTGTTGGTTTTCCAGATATGAAGTTTTTTTGCCGAAAACTTAAATAAAAACTTTTTCAAAATTTGAAATTCTTAACCTGTAGGTGGGGGCTGTCAGAGTAATCTCAGGAGTTGCAAAAATTAGGCCTCCAATTATGAATGCACAAATCTTTTTAGTTTCGAGATACGGGGGTTTTTGTGATTTAAGAAATTATCAGAAAACTTAAATTACAAAATATTTCACAATGAAATTCCCAACCCTGTAGTTGTGTGCTCTCAGATTATTGTCAAGGGTTGCGAATATTGCCTTCAAAAAAGACTGCTCAAATCTTGGTAGTTTTCGAGTTTGACGTTTTTTTCTGGTTTTGAAAAAATATATCTTTTTTAGAAAACTAAAGTTTGAAGTTTCTCAAAATTTGAATTTCGGTAAGTTGTTGTTGGGTACTGTAAGAGTAAGAGTACTCTCAGAAGTGGCAAATCTTGCGTCCAAATGCAAGTTCTCATTGCTGTTAGTATCCGAGATGTGACGTTTCTTGGTTGATTTTAAATTTTTTCAAAGAACTTATGTAAAACTTCACAAAGTTTTATGGTTTTTCAAAATTTGTATTAAAAAGCTTGAATAGAAAACTTTGAAAAGTTTGTAATTACCAACCCTGTAATGGGCTGCTGTCAAAGTACACTCAAAGGATGCAGGTCTTATTTCCAAAATATGTGGTTTCTTAGAGTTATTAAAACTTCGAAGCACCGAGGGTGCGTTACACGCTAGTTCTTGAAATTCAAATAGTTCTAAGGCAAGTCATCTAATTTTTTCTTTGTTGTTAGTCAGTATTTTTTTCAGTTTGCGTTCATTGATTCTTTTCCAACTATCTGTTGGCTGAGTTTAATGACTGAATGATTAAATTAGGACGAGACAGGATCCTCAATGGAGTGCAATGGAGTTCGGAGGGGGAGTTGGGGGGAGGGGAGGAGTGCATCAGCAGCAGCAGATGCCGCAACAGGGGGGAGGAGGCATGGGAATGTGGAGCCAACAGCAGAATCAGCAAGGAATACAGAACCAGTTCAACCAGCAGATAGGGGGCAGGGGAGGAATGGGGGGCAACTTCCCCAGACGGAACAACAATAACAATAGAAGGGGAGGAGGAATGTTCTAGCAGTTGAAGTCAATTTGAAAACTGATTCGATCCGAGATGATTCTGTTCTTTGTTGCTCTTAATTAGGTCCTCGCTTTTTTCTCTCTTATCTTTACTATTAACTATGTATGCTTACTATGTCCAGATGTATGATATTGACTGTCTCTGATTTGTTATTGCAAAATTTATTATCGAAATTTATGTTCGTTCTTACTTTTTGAAAAAGAGACAAGAAAGGGTTTCAAGTCGACTTTCAATTCATTGCTTACAGTTTTTGTACAGAAAAAGCTGATAATGCTTGGTTTGTTTTATCAATGCGTATTTTTTTTTCCACATGAGCGCTTCAGCAAACGTAAAGCTAGAGTACGAGTATTATTTTGTTTTAATCGAAGTCGCAAATATTGGTGAAACTTTTGGAGGCACCCTTACGGCTTTTTCATAGTATGTGCTAGAGTGATGAAATCGGAATAAAGACTTTTTTCAAGTGAAAAACTTGTTTGAGGAAATCTGTATTGCTTGATTCATTACACAAATGGAGTGTAGTGTACAATTATGAATCCATTTTTTCACAACCTTAAATAGCAAATAAAAGTGTTCATTTGGGGTCTCTGAAGAATCGTTCCAGACATTAGTAGTTTGTCAGAATATGTTTCTTCTTCATTGGTGGCTAGTCTTAGTCTACTTTAACCGTCTCTGGCGCCGATGCGATGACGCGAGACTCCTAATTTACAGGTGGGAGATTCAAATCCGGAATTTTGAAATAATTTGTTTTTGTTTGATGGCGTTTTTGCTGCCTAGCATTAGCAATTCAAAATTGTTGTTGTGACGCTTTTTGTACTAATTTTCTCATTATAAGTACCTTTGCGAGAGCAAGTGTCTACTAATCGGGAATTATTCTTTTTCCGGAAAACTAATTCTTTTCCACTTATTTTCTTCTTTTAAAACCTCTCAGCTTCGTTTGCACTTGGTCTAGGTGTAACGCTATCACTTTCACGACCTAAGGTCAGGAGTTCGAGTCTCTGCCGGACCTTGTTTTTTCAGAATGTATCCAAATGAACAATTTTTTTTCGTTAAAAATTGAATTGTCGGATTTCGTTTGTCTGCTCAAGTTTTGTCGGCTAAGTTGCCACTTTGTGGGCTTTGCTCGTTCTGTAAGCAACTGTCATTGCAATTGCAAGAGTTGTTAATTCTAGTTTCAAGGGAGACTTGAAAGATTTTTTTTTAAAAATGATAAATTCTTTTTCGTTCAACTGGTGTATGCTCAAATTTTGTCGGCATAGATGCCAGATCACTGATAAGGCGGTCGCTCTTACAACCAAAGTTTTTGAGTGTTCCACCCGAAGCTCTCGACCGGACTCTGTTTTTTTTTCAGTATATATGAAATAGAGTTTCTTTCCAGGAAAGATTGAATTGTCGGTTTTTCGTTTGTCTGCTTATTTCTTGTCGGCTGATATTTACACCGAAGACTTTAGTCAAGGTGTTATGGTATCGTGTAACGGGTTTTTTTTTTTAATGTTGTCTGTTGTCAAGTGTCGACAAATAACGTCCACAGTTATCAATTATCATCTGGGCTGGACTATATCGCGCTATGTCACGTGATTGCGTATGTTTGTTTCTTTATTTGTTCATCTTTATTTATTTAATTATCTGTTCTTCTATTTATTTAATTATGTTTAGTTTGCTTATATTTATTTATAATTTATGTATGTACATATTTATTTTTGTTTATTTTTATCACGTGTTTTGTTTATTTATTTAATTATTCTTTCTTTCATTTAGTTTTGCTTTTATTATTTCTGCGTGTGTATTTATTTAATTTATTTTATTTTCATTTATTTATATTATGGGTCTGTTTGTTTGGTTATTTGTTCATATATATTTTTTCATGTCTATTTAATTATTTGTACATTTCACTTTTGCTTTTATTTATTTATTTATAAAATGACTAATTCAGTAATAATAATAATGTACATTGTTCATCAGGTATCGGTTTTGCTGTTTTTTTAATGAAGTTTAGAGAAAAAATAATTTACATTGTATTTTTAGTCCACTTGTTCGCAAGGACTTTTTTCCGTGAAATCCGCGCGTTGGATACAGCCATCAAGTCTTCAGATTGGTCATTTATTCCCGTTGGACTATTGCGCTACACACATTTATCTACCGATGGTGTTCATTTGTCGCAAATGGGCTGCCTGAATTTGGCGAAATTAATTTGTGAGAGAGTATCCTTAACTCTTTTGACATCTGTCGTGGTAAATACTTTTTGTCTATTCTATTTTTTTTTCTGTTGTATTCCACTGAGCACTTAAATGTCATAATTTTATTTTTGCAGCCGTTTACTATCAGCTCATCTTCAGTGTTTGGCGTCTCTCAAATTTCCCTTGACGGTTGCAATAAATCTGTTTTGAGCATAGCTGATTCCCTCTTTGCAGAGCTTTACAAATCATACAAACAGGAATCTTGGACACATGTCAACGGGCGCTCTGTCAAGTGGATTTCAGAGGTTCCATACTCATATGGAAGCGTTCGCCAGCCGCCCAACAACTCTTGGTCACCACAGTTGTTGTTGTTAAAGACCTTGTTGGAGAAAGAACTCAAAGTTTCCTTCAACAGTGTCCTCATCAACATTTATTGTTCCCTCGAAGAAGTAATATCACAAAATACAGTCATAACAATTAGATAACATAGAAAATGTACTTTGCCTATCAGTATTTTTAGGGAGTTGGATTTCACGCTGACAACGAACGTGGTATTCCTGATTATCCAACCATTGCCAGCGTATCCCTTGGAGCCACCCGACGCTTTGCAATGAAAAGAAACGGGACCACGCGGCGCTCTGAAGTTTCTGTTTTGTTGCCACATGGTAGCGTTTTTACCATGCTCGGAGCTTGCCAGAAAGACTGGAAGCACAGCATCTTGAGAGGATCCACTGCACCCGATGGATCGTTTGAGAAATGGAATGGCGTCCGTTTCAATTTGACGTTCCGTAATCAGTTTGACGCTGAACGTTGAAGTTTTATGTCATTTTTATTACTTGCCGGTTTTTGAAGGTTGAATTTGAACTTGATTTCGTGGAATACTTAACTGATATCTTTACCTGATTGAAGTTTTGTTCATGAATACCAACATTGGTACATTTTTCAGATCTGTGTCATGTCTTTGCAAGTATTTTTTTTGTTTTTTGGATTTGTTTTTCGGATTGTTTTACTGCTACATACTGTCAATTCTGAGACTGCTTCACAATTTCTCAATATAATAAGACTAATAGCTTTTTTTCATTTTAGCTCTTTCTTGTAAGTATATGTGTAAGTACGATTTTTAGTTATTCCGGAGACCCATATGAGTCTACATGCCAATTTATACGATTGGCCGATTGAAACGACAGGAGGCGTTTTGCTACACATACAAACACAATCTTTTGTATTTTATTATAGCTATAGAAATTGATCTACAATGCGTAAGTACGACATTTAGTTCTACGATTGTTATTTCAGGTCCTTTGTCAATATTTCAGGCTCTTTGTCAATATAGCAAAATTTTGGTGTATATATGTGTTAGTAAGATTTTTAGTTCTACAACGTTTATTCAGGCTCTTCGTCAATATAGCAATATTTTAGCGTATACATGTGTTAGTACCATTTTTAGTTCTCGAACTGTTATTTTATGATCTATGTCAATATATCAAAATTTTAGTGTATACATGTGTTATTACGATTTTTAGTTCTCGAACTGTTATTTCATGATCTTTGTCAATATATCAAAATTTTATTGTATACATGTGTTAGTACCATTTTTAGTTCTCGAACTGTTATTCCATGATCTTTGTCAATATAGCAAAATTTTGGTGTATACATGTGTTAGTACGATTTTCAGCTCTAGAACTGTTATTCCATGATCTTTGTCAATATAGCAAAAATTTGACGTATACATGTGTTAGTACGATTTTTAGCTCTCGAACTGTTATTTCAAAATCTTTGCCAATATAGCAAAATTTTGGTGTATACATGTGTTCGTACGATTTTTAGCTCACGAACTGTTATTTCAGGCTCTTTGTCAATATAGTAAAATTTTGGTGTATACATGTGTTAGTACGATTTTTAGTTCTAGAAGTGTTATTTTATGATCTTCGTTGATATATCAAAAATTTAACCTATACATGTGTTAGTACGATTTTTAGTTCTAGAACTGTTATTTCAGGCTCTTTCTCGATATAGCAAAATTTTGGTGTATACATGTATTAGTACGATTTTTTGTTCTAGAACTGTTATTCTTCAATTATTAGTTGTTCAAGTTGGTTGGTTTTTGCTTCAGTTTCTATGCCTTCGGTGTATTGCGCGTAGCGCCTATGTTATGCTAAGTATGGATTTTTCTCTGATTTAAAAAACAGCTATTATGTTCGATGATAATTGTTCTTCCTGTTTTCTTGTAAATTTACTCTGGTTTTTGTCAATCTAGTCTGGTCACAACTCAGGTTTTTATTTTTTATTTTTATATTTTTTTAAATTAAAATAGCTTCGTCTGGTTTAGTATTTTCTATCGCTTGAAACGCTAAAATGGAATGTCATTTTGAAACGAAATTCAGGTTGTTTGTGGAGTAGAAGCTTAAATTTTTTCATCCCTCAAAATTTTTTTGACTATTCTTATGACATTGTTTTGTTTTTGTCTGAATGGGCGTCCTCTGTGTTGTCTGGTTAGTGGCCGCTGAGTGCTGCTCTTTTATGCAGGTGTTTAAGATTCTCGGCTGTTTTTCTGAAATTGAACGTTCGTTTTTTCCTAATAGTTAGTAATTCTATTGTTCCTTCAGCTAATTTGCAATGCTGCGCTTGCGTTGTATCGCAAGTGATGCGAAACTCTGCTCCGCCTCTGTAAAGTCTTGTTTAATCGTTGTTTTTCGCAAATGGTTTTTTGAGTTGTAGGTGATACCTAAATACTTGAGAACTATTAAAAGAATCGTATTTTGTTGAGAACTAATCGAAAGAGTAACATGAGTGTTTTGTCGAAGGAAGTGAAGATATTTGGATTTTCAGAGGCTTCTGGAAATGGCCGACATAATGTCCCTGTATTTTCTAATACCTATCGCGATTGTTATAACTGGCTTGGCGTATAGATTATTAGCACGCAAGCCAGTTCCTCGTAAGATGTTATGTTGTTCTTTGCAAAACAAAGTCATCTGCGTGACTGGTGCCAGCTCTGGAATCGGAAAGGAACTCTCCAAATTCTGCTTCGACCATGGATCTAAAGTTGTAATGATAGCTAGGAGAAAGGAGTTGTTACAAACCCTGAAAGAAGAAATGCTTGCATCTTGTGCCGAGAAAGAAAAGAGGAATAGTGATATAGCGGTTGTTCAGGCCGATCTAGCAAAATTGGAAGAAATCGACGATCGAGCCAAAGAGGTTCTTGAGTGTTTCGGACACGGTTGGTCAGTTTTTTAAAATCGTTAGGTAAGATTTTTTTTAGAATTTCAGTTTGCCATTTTTACGCCTGCGATTACCAAGTGTTATCAATTCGAAATACATACTTCAAGACAATAATTGAATTCATTCAAATGCTTATTTTAATTTGCTTACAAACTCAAATTTTCTTCGGCCCAATTGGACTAGAGGTAATGTATTTGTTCAGGACAAATTAGGTTGTGCTGAAGTCATATTTGCTGAAAATTCATTATGGCGGTAAACTCAAAAGTCAAAACTCTAGAAAACCAAGCAACCATTGATTCTTTACACTTGCCAAAACAGCTTTGTTGTTATCGGGATTGTTATCGGGATCCAGACTTTTTTCGTAAACAATTTTCCTTCAAATCCTACATGCTTGAATTACTGGCTTTATTATTGAAGCTTAAGATCCTTCAGACACATTCGCATTTGGTCTAGAGACATCGTCGTTCCTTTTGGACCCTAAGGTCAGGTTTGGAGCCAGACTTTGTTTTTTCAGTATGTTTTTAGTTGAATTTTTTTCTGGTAAAATTGAATTGTCGGACTTTGCATGTTTTGTCGGCCTAATAACCCCATCAATGATTTTGCTGTAAGCAATTCTCTGTGTAGTTGCAAGTGCAAGTGTTGTTAAATGTAGTTTCAGGGGAACTGAAAATTAAAAAAATATATGTTTAACCTTTTTTTATCGGCTTAACTTGTGCCTGCTCAAAGAGTGTCGTCTTAGTCGCCTTATTACAGATTTTTCTTGTTCTTTAAGCAATTTTCCTTGAACTTGCAGGTGCGAGTTATGTTCAATTTAATTTAGTTTTTTTTTTGGGGGGGGACATGAAAATTCCTAACATTGTAAAAATAAATTCATTTTTTGGCTCCATTTGTCTGCTCATAAATTGTCGGCTTCGTAGCGTCTTCGTAAGTTTCGTAAAGTTGCTAATTTATTGTTTAAACGACTAGCATTTGGCCTAAAATGAACTTCTACCGAGACTTACGAAACTTATAATTTTGGTAGACCTCGGTCTTAAACAGTTTTCTTTTTTTTTCGACGCTTATTTTTGTTCCGACTTTCGATACAAAAGTAACATAATATTTGTGCTCTGGGTGGGTTTTTTCTTCAGACAAATTTCGACTTTTTAATTAACCATTTTTGACGGAATTTTGTACATCATTCAAAAGCTATTGTTTTCTTGAGCTCAAATTTGAAAAGATTTTTTACCTGTGACCATTTTTCATAAAGTTATGGGGGTTTACAGATTGCCATTTTGGCCAATTTGGGAAAATTAACGCGCAATATATTTCGCGCTATTAACGCGTAAGCAGAGAGTTAATCCGTCTTAGAAACCGTTCCAAATTGGTTGAAAGAAGCTTATTTGCCATAATTGATTTGTTACAAGGAGCGAAATCTATCTTTTTATACTTTATATGGCGTGTGGGGGAGGATGATTTTCATAAAAAATTTCAAGTTTTTGAAAAAAAAAATTTCATTGTTTTATTACAATTTTTTTTAATTGTTATTGCTGCTCGATAAACCTTAAAAGGCAGTCGGAACATTCAGGGCTTCGCCCTGATACGGGCAGTCTTGTTTATATTAGTATTGTTTTGCGTCGCCTCTGCGTGAATGTTTTGACATGCTTTTGCTAGACTTTTACCTTTTTATTATTGTTTGAAATAGATAGAAAACCTTTATAGACAAAAACCCGTTCGATCAACTCATAGAAAAGGAGAATCAATTGCTGACCGTTCGAGTATTGATAATCCAGGTACCTGATTGGTACTCAAAACAATTTTTTCAAGGAATAATAGGCTATCAGCTTGGTATTATAGGAGGCTAATTTGGCATCAGTTACACCTGCGCTCAGTATGACTGCTTTCAGTACAGTCGCAGCGATTCTAGTACTTAACGGCTCAATTGGAATCCAGCTAGGATCTGTTTTTTTTAAAGATAATTCAAAAAATATACCATTTGAAAAACAAAGATGTTGGCCTATTGCTTTCTCATATCCTTAACGATCACATAGTCTCATGTCATCCATATCTCTCTTCTTGTTTCCTCGCTCAATATCCTGATCTGTTAAGGAGGGACGAGCTTTTTGACAAGAACAGAAGTGGTAGTAACATCCCATTGCTTCGAACACTGTCTTACAGTGATCACAGTAACCGTCCACATTAAAACAGTCGATTTTTTTTCTGTTTTCCAGATGTAAAAAAGCACTCAATTTTACATTTTGGTCTTGTTTCCTCATAAAAATACATAACCATATTCTCAAAGTTGCGAGTTCGATTATGTCTGGCCTTGAATTTTTGCATACCAGTGTCAAACTCCCATCTCGTGTACAGTCCTGTTGGCATATCTTGACACATTCAGAAAGGGTAAAGCTGGCTTGCATCAATTCCAGCGATCGATTTACAAACATTTGATGAGTTTCTGATGAATGTTTCATCAACTACAGCTTTTCGAGTGAAAACAAGGAAGGTCCACCAGTCATGTCTTTTCGTATTTTTTCACACAAATCTTTATCACATAGCAAAATGGATAAAATTTGTAGTTTGTAGATTTGTGCAGACATATATTTGCTAGATTCGGAAGAGTACATCCAAGTTTTAACATGTCTATCCCCTTGTTATGATAAAACTGCATCATTTTTTGCATTGCTTCCAGGGTTGGAACTACATCCTTGTTGTTGTACCACTTCAAAAAGTCTTTGAACACTGTCATTCCGTTTTTATTCCAAGTCTCTTGTAAGTAATTGTAATTATCCAAACCAGATGGAGGAACAGTCTTGATTTGAAGCTTTTTCAGTGCTTGTTCTTCGACAAGCCCACTCTTTCTCAGCTTTTTTCTCTCTTGTCTTTACTATTAACTATGTATGCTTACTATGGCCAGATGTATGATATTGACTGTCTCTGATTTGTTATTGCAAAATTTATTATCGAAATTTATGTTCGTTCTTATTTTTTCAAAAAAAAGACAAGAAAGGGTTTCAAGCCGACTTTCAATTCATTGCTTACAGTTTTTGTACAGAAAAAGCTGATAAGGCTTGGTTTAATTTATCAATGCGTATTTTGTTTCCACATGAGCGCTTCAGCAAACGTAGAGCTGGAGTACGAGTATTGTTTTGTTTTAACCGAAGTCGCAAATATTGGTGAAACCTTTGGAGGCACCCTTACGGCTTTTTCATAGTATGTGCTAGATTGATGAAATCGGAATACAGACTTTTTTCAAGTGAAAAACTTGTTTGAGGAAATCTGTATTGCTTGATTCATACACAAATGGAGTGTAGTGTACAATTATGAATCCACTTTTTCATAAACTTAAATAGCAAATAATAGTGTTCATTTGGGGTCTCTGAGAATCGTTCCAGACATAAGTAGTTTGTCAGAATCTGTTTCTTCTTCATTGGTGGCTAGTCTTAGTCTACTTTAACCGTCTCTGGCGCCGATGCGATGACGCGAGACTCCTAATTTACAGATGGGAGATTCAAATCCGGAATTTTGAAATAATCTGTTTTTGTTTGTTGGCGTTTTTGCTGCCTAGCATTAGCAATTCAAAATTGTTGTTGTGACGATTTTTGTACTAATTTTGATATTATAAGTACCTTTGCGAGAGCAAGTCTACTAATCGGGAATTATTCTTTTTCCGGAAAACTATTTCTTTTCCACTTATTTTCTTCTTTTAAAACCTCTCAGCTTCGTTTGCACTTGGTCTAGGTGTAACGCTATCACTTTCACGACCTAAGGTCAGGAGTTCGAGTCTCTGCCGGACCTTGTTTTTTCAGAATGTATCCAAATGAACAATTTTTTTTCGTTAAAAATTGAATTTTCGGATTTCGTTTGTCTGCTCAAGTTTTGTCGGCTAAGTTGCCACTTTGTGGGTTTGGCTCGTTCTGTAAGCAAGTGTCATTCCAATCGCAAGAGCTGTTAATTCTAGTTTCAAGGGAGACTTGAAAGATTTTTTTTTAAAATGATAAATTCTTTTTCGTTCAACTGGTGTCTGCTCAAATTTTGTCGGCATAGATGCCAGATCACTGATAAAGAGGTTGCTCTTACAACCAAAGTTTTTGAGTGTTGCACCCGAAGCTCTCGACCGGACTCTGTTTTTTTTTTCAGTATGTGTGTGTGAAATAGAGTTTCTTCCCAGGAAAGATTGAATTGTCGGTTTTTCGTTTGTCTGCTTATTTCTTGTCGGCTGATATTGCTAAGTATGGATTTTTCTCTGATTAAAAAAAACAGCTAATATGTTCGATGATAATTGTTCTTCCTGTTTTCTTGTAAATTTACTCTGGTTTTTGTCAATTTACCCATTGTTTTGTAAATCTACTCTGGTCACAACTCAGGTTTTTATTTTTTATTTTCATATTTTTTTTCAATTAAAATAGCTTCGTCTGGTTTAGTATTTTCTATCGCTTGAAACGCTAAAATGGAATGTCATTTTGAAACGAAATTCAGGTTGTTTGTGGAGTAGAAGCTTAAAGTTTTTCAATTTTTTTTTACTATTCTTATGGCGTTGTTTTGTTTTTGTCGGAATGGGCGTCCTCTGTGTTGTCTGGTTAGTGGCCGCTGAGTGCTGCTCTTTTATGCAGGTGTTTAAGATTCTCGGCTGTTTTTTCTGAAATTGAATGTTCATTTTTTCCTAATAGTTAGTAATTATATTGTTCCTTCAGCTAATTTGCAATGCAGCGCTTGCTTTGTATCGCAAGTGATGCGAAACTCTGCTCCGCCTCTGTAAAGTCTTGTTTAATCGTTGTTTTTCGCAAATGGTTTTTTGAGTTGTAGGTGATACCTAAATACTTGAGAACTATTAAAAGACTCGTATTTTGTTGAGAACTAATCGAAAGAGTAACATGAGTGTATTGTCGAAGGAAGTGAAGATATTTGGATTTTCAGAGGCTTCTGGAAATGGCCGACATAATGTCCCTGTATTTTCTAATACCAATCGCGATTGTTATAACTGGCTTGGCCTATAGATTATTAGCCCGCAAGCCAGTTCCT